TCTTATATATCCTATTGTTAATAACTAAATTGTGACAAGGAAAAGTTGTTTTTAGTGAGCTATAATCCTCACCATCACTCAACCAAGTTTCACTCAGACATACTATGTGATTAAATGAATTAAGAATATTTACAAATTGAGTTATATCAAATATATGAGCAAATAAGCTCCTACAATTTATATGAACGATGAAAAAATTGCTATTGTTATTTAATTTAGTGTACAACGTTGATTTAAACTGTTCAATAGTAAAGTACATGGAAACTTGATTATACAGAATGCAGTCATAATTTAAATCAATATCAAAATTAAAAATATAATTTAGAGAATTATTATTTCTATCAAATGTAGAATTATTTAAAAAAATGTTACTTTCATCAAATATCTTATCACTTTTCTTTACATTTGGTTCACATAGTCAGCTTTCTGGATTGGTAATGTTGTTGTTTGCGGAGCTCTCGGGGAGGTTTGTATCATTTTTTGTTGAAACTGTTGAAGCACTGGATAAAACGTTATCAGACTTGGTGTTGTTTCTGTTAAATATCCATTCTCGTATGATAACTGAACTGGGCCAGTTTGACGTGGACATGACTTTGTTGTATTCATCGCTGGAACACATAACCTAAACGAAGTATGATTTATTTGAACTTCATCAGGTCCAAGAGGCTTGGTAGTTGGATTACATGAGATCAACTTTATTCCCCTACTTTCACAATGTTTAATTATAACGCTACTATCAGGCAAGTTCACATTACCAATGTAGAAGATTTTTTTTCTAATGATAGATTTAGATGCCGTAAAGAGTGGATTGGTTGTCATTGATCCCACAATCTTAGTAGGTTTTGCTATATTGAGTTGGTTTGTTGTTGCAGAAGCTTCAGACTTGGTAGGTTTTGCTAGTGAGTCCTTGTCGTTTTTTACAGCAAGTTGGACAGGTTTTGCAGGTGTCGGTAATGCTCTTGATTTAGACCTTTTCTTAATTTTCTGAACTAGTGTAAATCGGTCGTCAGTGGCGTTGTCGTCAGATTGTAAATCACAGCTTGTTTTTGCAGCAGCTAGCACACCAACATTTGTCCATGGTGTAGAAATCGTTTCTACACTATTACTAAAAACACTTGTGTCATTTATATCCTTTAAATTGTCGTTAGATTGTTGACGATATGCCGGTAATAGCTCCCGGTTATTGCTGTTATTTACTTTATCAACATTTTCAAGATTATTGAACTTAGTTTTCAAATTTTCAATATCAAGATGAAACGACAGTAACATTTTATTAATCTGAGTTTGCTGACTAGATAACAGTTGTTTTATTTCATTTTTTATATATTCAAAATTTAGTTTCAACCGCAATTTAGTTATAACAATTCGCAAACTTTAACCGATTTCGACGACGCCATAATATCTATATCAATATATATATATATATATACCATAGACCATAATTTTTACAATATATAGAGAGAATATATATATATATATATATATATATATATATATATATATATGTGTGTGTGTGTGTGTGTGTGTGTGTGTGTGTGTGTGTGTGTGTGTGTGTGTGTGTATAGTTTTTTAATATACTTACGAACGTGTATGCACGCCTATACTCATGGATTGCATTGCATATATAAAAAGGATGAAGGGAAAAAGTAACGGAGATTTTTTAGCATCAATATTTTGCCTTCCGAATGGATGCTGAGCTGCAACTGAATTTATACGTTCCATATGTCATAACATTATGTCAATTTTGTAATGTCTTTTCTGTTTCCGTTTTGATTGTTTAGTTTATTAGAATTATCAAGAACAGTTCGTTTGAAAATAATTTTTCCAAATAATATTCACCATATTTCACAATTATTTCATAGTTGTAAAAAATGTAAAAAATAAATTAAACAAAATTGAATTTTCGAATTTGTTGGGAACCAGAAAATGTGCGACTGTTGCTATCTTCGGTTCAGGTGAGTTTAACATTTTTTTGTCAACTGCCCCGTAGTACGTGTTGCTTCTTTTCAAATTAAATAAACGTAAATTTTTATAAGCTAAATATTGTAATTTAATAATTCAAAAAGTATTTATTTATTGTACATTAAATTTTGTTTGCTGTGTTAATATTCTTTTCAACTAGTTCTATTTTTTCATATAAATTTTTTTTTTTACATATTCAATGAAAGAAAGAGGATCAGATGTAAAAGGCAAGTGAGTGCGTGTACAAATTAACAGTCGCGAGTGAAATGCGTCTAAAAATATTTTGTGGTTGATGATGGTGATGAATTGGTGATAAAGTGGGTAAAGTAAATTTGCTAACTCTGTCAAAAATAATAACATGACTATAATGATGATATAATTATCACGATGAAAAAAATATTTCAATTTGAAATATTTTTGTATTATTTAATTAGTTGAACGATTTATTCATTCGTATAAACAATGTGATTCAACGCACGGCAAGCACATTCTGCGCGTCTATGTTGGGCTCATTTCGGCTTTTGAAACATGACATCTACATTCAAGAAATGACTTTTTTAATATCAGAGCCATTTTAATTTTACGCGTGACCTAAATTTAAACCTCGGAGTGAAATTTCTATTTAAGTATAATTATATCTTGGAGAAAGCAATAAACCAGCAAATTAAAATCCATACAAAGAGTACTGTTGAGTTAGTTGGAGATTGCATCGAAAGCAGGCCAGCGCTGGTTTCAGAGGATGTGGTCGTTTGTTTGTAGCACCTGAGCTATCTTAAGAAGCCTGTCTGAGGTTGGATGCAATTCATTATTAACTTTTTGATTTAATGTTTCTTGCCATGAAAAACAGTATTCATTAGCAAATTTCTGTATTCATTTCTTCATTTAATTACCTATTTCTCTATTTCTCAATTTATTTATTTGTTTGTTTATATATTTATTTAATTCACATCCATGGTAAAAACTTTGATGTTGCTTTCTATTATGTCGTTCAACAGGACATAAATTATACTTTAAAATTATTACGCAATAAGACAAACAAACATAGAAACAAACAAACAAACAAACCTGCCCTAATAAACAAACAAACCGTAAGACAAACAATCGGTGAAACGCAAAAACAAGCGATGAAACACATAAACATACCAGCAAACAGCGAAACAGACAGACAGAGACAGACAAACAGATAGCTACATTCCTGCAGTTACGCGCGTGTTCAAGAATTGTATCTCTCGTCTGAATTGTTTTTAAAACTGAGAGAGAAAAAAATACCAAATCGTTAAATAAAATCTGGTTATTTCAATTGTTTGCTTGGTCGTAAATCTTCCTCTTCAGTGCGTAATTGTGCTACAAACGCCAGCTATCCGCGAGAGGGGAGCAAGTCATTTTTGCTCAACATAAATTATAATGCATCTTCGTTCGTCAGATGCAGTTGATGGCAATGCTGTTAATAACATTTTTTTTTTTGTTTTGGTGATTTTTTTCTTCATTTTTTAGTGTTGATTTACATTTTTGCTGACAAAATTAGTGACGAATATTTTATTGCCAACAATCTGAAACATTTTGCAATAGAAAATTAATTCACTTTATTTTCCAACCACAAAAGGTTGCAATATTCTTCTGTTATCAGGTTTGACATGTTACAAATTTTGACATTTCAGAAATCTACACAACAAATGAACGTTCATAAAGATAGAACGTGACGAATATCAAATGAACGCGAAGAAGGGCAACCTTAGCCTCATGAACATTGAGTGAACGTGATGAACATTCAGTAAACACCATGAACAATATTGATCACGACGAACAAATGAACAAACGTTTCAAACGAACAGACAGATTCAGACATTTTCATACTGTGTTCACCCACGGAATGCGTCCTAAGTACTTCTTAGTAACTTCGCAACAGCAATAAAATCATTGATGAAAAAAAACTTCACATCTGCAAATAGAAGTAACGTGTAACGTTAAGAATGATTAAAATGATGATAGCGACGATGACAACGGTCTTGGTGATAGTGATGATGATGACATATCACCAATTTCAAATAGCTGCAGTGACGTCATCATCCTCTTCTTCTACTTATTTTTCTTCTTTTTCTCCTTCTTCTTTTTTTTCTTCTTCTTCTTCAATCTATCAATCATCATCTACGTCAACATCATCATCGTCATCAACATCAGCAACAACAACATCGTCATCACCATCACCAATCCAGCAATCATCAACAACGACAACGTCATCTTCCTCACCGTCAGCTTCTTCATCACTTCTAATAACGTTGAGATCATTGTCATCTCCGGCAAACGAACAACAAGCAGACAGTTTGTTGCCATCAGATTCACCATCAAATGGTTATTCATCATCGTCAACAACTACAACAAAATCATTTCAATTGTCGTCGTTGTCGTCATCATCATCATCAACTGGCCAGCCATCACAAAAATCATTATTAACATTATCATCGTCATCATCATCATCACTGCAATCATCATCATCGACAACAAAACTGCAAACCAGTTTTACAGTTTTATTCACATCATTATCATCATCAACAACACCATCGTCATCATCATCTTTATTTTTATCATCATCATCTTCATCTTTCCCATCATCGTCATCATTATCTACATTGTCTTCGTCATCATCCAAGTCGCCATCATCATCATCACCGCCGACAAGTCAACCGATAAAATTTAACAACTTTTTTAATGTAAAAACATCTACAATAACCATTCCAACTTTTACAACAACATCAACAACAAATAACCAAAAAAACATCATCCAACAAATGCTACCAACAAAATCACCATCGCCATCACCACCAACAACAACAAAAACAACAACAAAGAACAAACAAACCATCTCCAACGTGTTTGAAGAAAAAATTCCCGATACTGAAATTACAACTTATATTAATAAAAGCTATTTCGATGTTGACACAGCAGTTTTCAATTCTTCTACATTAAACCCAGAAACCATGTTAAACATTTTATCACACCATACAAGCAACAACATCAAAAATATCTTTAATAACCGTAACATCAACAATGATCCCCATAACAGCAAAGATTACAGTAAGATAAGCAGCACAGATGTGACCTATGACAACAACAACGTTGAAATGAATAACATCTACAATAACAACACCAGATACAATAACAGATTTGAAAATATCCTTAATGTTAACAACAACAACAACAACACCAACAACAGCAACAACAGTAATGACATCAACTACATCTACAACAACTACAATAGCAGTGGCCAAGTTAATAACGAAAGTAGAAGTAACCAAAGCGTAGAGAATATATCGTCCAACATAGAATACATTAACAACAGCAGTATAAACAGTGGAGATGTTGGAAAACAAACAGCACCATACAGAGGCGTTAGGAGATCTGACGTTGAAAAACAAAGCTTCAATATTGCTTCTGAGAACCAGCAACAAAACGATGAAAGAAACGCTAAAATCAATCATGAGAATGTAGATGACAACCTGAGAAACAAAAGTATAAAAAAACTCATTTATAATGATAAAATCAATTACATGCTTAACGTTAATGACAACAACAACTACAACAGCAGCAGCAACAACAACCACATAAACAAAATCGACACCAATACTCACATGAATCACACATTCGTATTTAATTCCGCTAAACATTCTGGTAACCAAGCTGATCACACTTCTTACATCAACAACAATAACAGAAATGACATCAATATTGGACGGAACGATCCAGAAAGTGCAAATATTCACGACATCAAAGCAAGTGGTTATTCGATCGGAGAAACCTTCCATGACAACATCAACAATGACACCAGTAACGACATCAACAATGACACCGGTAACGACATCAACAACGACACAAATTATACAACTATCGGTGAAAGTACTAAATATAACAATGTAACATGCAGCAGTCTCAATAACATTAAATGCGCGTATGCTGGTGACAACGAAGACACCACTTTTGATGAAATAATTCTCAATAACACTGACATGAATGTTAGTTTTGTTGGGATGAATCTAACATCTAGTGCTAACGTTTCACGAAAAAATAGCGACAAAAATATTAGCACTGACAACAACCTCAACAGTTGCAGCAACAGTCAGAATGACGAAAGAAACGCCGACGGAAACGATTCAACAGCATCAGATGTTGACGCGATCAATCCATATGCCAATTATATTGAGATCAACTCTGAATACGTCAACAACATCACTGATATTTTTGATGCTACTATTAGTAACAATAGCAACAACAACAACAGCAACAACAACAATAACAATAACAACAACAGCAACAACAACGACAATAACAACAACAACAGCAAAAACATCAACAGCAACAACATCAGCAGTAACTACAACAACAGCAGGAGTAGCAACGGGAGAAACACGAATAATTTTAACGAAACTAACAACAACATTAACATTAGCAATAACGTTGACAATAATCCTGACATTAATAACCAATCCAACTTAAACTATAACATTAATAGCATCAACAACAACTCAAAGGGGTCTATTTTTAGATACGCTAAGTACAACAATAAATTAATTAACGACAGTTTTCTAGGAAACAATAATAGAATCAACAACATTGACAAAAACAACAACAACGATAACAACAACATAAATAACAATAACAACAGCAACAACGACGACAACATCAACAGTGACAACAACATCAGCAACAACATTTTTCTAGAGAATGATGACGAGGAAACAAGCGCCATCACCACGAACCCTGCTAACTATTCCCGAGATCTCAAAATAGGTCAGTTGATGGACGAAAATAGGTCAGTAAAAGATGACGTCATCTAACGTCATCATCGTCGTTGTCCTCTTTATTGGTTTTATTTACAGTAACAACATTTTGTAATATTTTTCAACGTTCGATTTAACATTAAATTTGAGAAAATTTGTTTTTTTATGCTTGAAATGAAGTATGGAAAAACAAAAAGTTTTAGAGAAAAATAGATGAATCATTTCTTACTTTTAAAAAATTAAGAAAGTTTATTATAAATTGTGTTATATTACAGAATGTGAACCTGTTTAATAAAAAATTAACTCAAAATTTTTAAAAGATAAATATTGGTCATTGAAAATATATCTAAGGTTTCCAGCAAATTGTTTTTTTTTGATAATCAGCAGAATTTTTCAAGCCATAAAATAATTAGGAAATATTTTTATTGCGATTGTTGACATTATGGTAGATGAAAACGTGGTTGTCAATTTTTAGTGAAAAAAAAATTAACCTATATCTAAATGCACTTGCACAATTTCACAGAAGAATTTTCAATTAATAAAACCTATTGAAAAAGTTCATGAAAAATTAGTCCAATCATAAAACTGGATGAATTGGTTCAGCGGGACAGAGAGCTGGTGAATGCACGCTGGAGGCATATAACTTTAATGATTGCAATGAATTGCTTCGTGGAATGCTTCAGTGACTGCCCAGCTTCTTCAACTGAATAACTGGTATAAAAAGCAGTTCTTATGTTAGAATATTGAGCAATCATTTTTATAAAAAAAACATCAAAGAAAACAATAAGATTCAAGGGTATCAAAAAAAAAATTTGATCGTGGTTTATATGTAATGAAACAATTAGTTCATTGGCGGTAGATATTATTATCTCGTCAAAAAATATTGTAAACAAACATTTTATAGAAAATTTCATTGTTTTAAAAAAATCTGTAAAACGAAGGCCTGTTGATGCCGATGACGGGAGATTTCGGCTTCGAGAAGACGGTTTCAGCCAGCACGATGGCCATCAAAGATGCGCAAGAAGCTGGTCTCCTCAGGGGATTCAACGTCAGGTCTGCTTGCAGAAAATAATTTGTTTTCTATTTGTCAGGCCTACTCGCAACAAAACATTTAACTTGTTTGTTTGCAGCTTTGTTTTTGAAGTTGCAATTAATTTATTTTTGAATGATTAAAAGCAAAAATTAATTATTTTGTTATATGAGGAAGTTATATGTGATTGATGTATTGATATTTCTATTTATTTCATATGTAAACTCAACCAACCAACCAACCAACCAAAAAATCAACAAACCAACTAACCAACCAACCAACCAATCAACCAACCAACCAACCTACCTACCTACCTACCTAATCAATCGGCTAACCAACCAACCTGCTCCAAAATATTCCTCTTCAACGGTACAAAAAACAGCAAGCAGTCATTTGAATAGATGAACTTCGCAACTAATGATCAATGATATCATTTCCTCCTCTGCTACTTTTAAGAGCATCTACAACCACACTCACTGAAGCATAAATCAATCATCATAACTGCTGCGATAAATAACACTTTTAAGCTGTTGTTAACAACATTCACTTTTTATCGGCTCGGATTGTTTTTTTTGTAGTTTTTATAACTACTGATCCCTTTCTCACATTTAAGAGTGCTTTTTATACAAAGCGCTCATTAATACTAATTTATAAAGTATTTTTTAGAATTTTTAAATTTAATATAAAATCTGTTTATACATTGAATTTGTAAAGTAATTTACAATAGTTTTTTTTATTTTCTGTGATACAATACAATACAACCATTACAATACAATCATTAATACAACCCTGAACAAAATTGTTGTCTTCATTTTTATATTATTTATACAATCATTCTTTACGTTCACTTCATCATCATCTCGATTATCATTTTAAATATTCCTCATCGTCGTCATCATCTCTCCGACAACACTGTCACCAACACACATCACCTTAGTCATTATCATCACAGCCATCAACATCACCTCCTTAATCGTCATCGTCATCACTACATCATCATCATCATAATCGTCAGCGTTAAATCATCATTATCATCTTTTTTATAATGTTATTTTCTTCATCATCTTCATCATTGTTATAACGGTATTTACATCATCATCTTCATCTTCTTCATCATCACCATCATATTCATTGTCATCTCCATCATCACCATCAACATGAAATTACTTTCATCATCTTCTTCATCAGCATCTTCATCATTTTCATCATCAGCGTCATATACATGGACGACAAGTGCGACGGTAAGGAGGCACTGGGAAAAACTTCAGAACTCCACTACATAAAGCACGTCAGTGCATTTGTCGGTCTGCCCTGCTCAGCTGGTTAGCCGCTGATGATGAAGATGATGATGAAGATGATGGTGATAATGATGATTATGATGATAATGAAAATGATGATGATGATGAAAATGAAGATGATGATGATGTTTAAGAAGATGATGGTGAAAATGATGATGAAAAAGGATGATGGGGATAATGATGATTATGATGATGATGAAAATGTTGATGATGATGAAAATGAGGATGAAGATGATGATGATGTTTAAGAAGATGATGATGAAAATGATGATGAAAAATGATGATGAAGATGATGATAAAGATGAAGATGATGAATTTTTGAGTGATCAAATTTGAAGGTGATGTTGACGATTTAAGATGATGGAAATAAAAAAAAATAGGCGATGATGGCTGGGGAGAGTGATGATGTTTGTGCCATTTTGCCGATGTTTAGGACGACAGAAATGATGATGGGATGATTTTTTTAACACAAATTACAAGCAATATACATATATATAACTATATAAACTCTCATGAACTATAATTAAATTCATTGGTAAAATTAACAATTTCAATTATAAATTAATAAGCATTCAAATTATGATTCATTTTTTTATATTACTTAATTTATAAATGCAAACCTTTTAAACTAAGACTTGATAAGGAAAATGGGTGGCAGGCAAGATTTTTTAATAAAAGTTATTACAGTAAAAGAGCTAATGTTTTGAAGCAGGAATAATTATTTGAAAACAAAGGTATGCAAGTACTGGCTGTGTTGATGGTTAAAAAAATTGTATACCTTGGAAGAACATTACTGCCAGTTACAATATCAGGGTTCGTGAATAGAAAAATTTTAAGAGCAGTCTGACACGCCAGCCCGTCTAATGTTTCTGCTTCCTCCTCCATTACTTTTTACCTTTCGGAGTCATTTTAAGCTAAAAGGCGCTAATTTTTAAGATGAAAATTAAGAATAGGGACAAACTTTTATGATAACACGAAACATTAAAGTGCACAAATGCTATTAAAAAATCAATTTTTCGAAACATTTCAGGTTCATTATATTTTAATTTTTTTCATGAACATTTTTAGAATGCGTATGTTTCGTTGTTTGTATGTATCCTTCGTTTTAAAATAAAGCACTCAATTATAATTAAATTTCAATGCCAAAGAAGTACATTTTTTAGCACTGTCAAACACATTCGCAACAAGTTTCCCATTTGCAACATTCGACATCAACCCAGCAACACATCAACACTTAAATATGTCAACACACTCCATGAAACACCTTATACTAAACTACGAGTTTAATACAAAATGGTTTTCTTTTGATATTCACATTTTATAATTTCCATTACTCCACATCTTCAATTACGAAGAAAATCTTTTCTGAACTGGACTCGCTTCTCTCATGGTCGTGACAACATTTCACTCAACTCAAATAAATCATTCAAACTTGAAAAAATCCATAAATAAAATTGCGCTACCGGCGAAACGTCCACCAATCTCCCACACAAACTAACGTTACATTTCAAGCGCCAACCTCACAGTGATTCACAAAATATTGACAACTTCACACCCATCGCAACATCAATCACAGACATCATCAACCTACTCACACGCAATCATAGCTATCCAGTTTTTTGATGTCACAAGTTCTCTATTACTTTAACTTTTAAACGGAAGACTCCACCACAATTAGATTTTGCCGCGAAACAGCAATAACCGCAGCTACATTCATTCAACAAATTGAGATTAAATAATGTGTGTGTGTTGTGCATATATATATATATATATACATATATATCATATATATTTATCAATATAAAAACAATATATACAGAGAAATAAAAATGCTTGAAGCCTTTATTTATACCCATCCATTCATTGATTAAATTTTAGACCCATAGGACGTAAGCTCATTAAAGAAAAATGAAATGTAACCACAATCACGCACGTTACTCCTTACTGCCTCTGTCAATCAAAACCGCATCAAACAGCCAACCAACGCCAATGCAAATACATCTCTTTTTTGTAACCATTATGAATGAATGGCGTTACTCTGTTCCATCTCTTACTTGTCTTTCTTTGTTATTGCTTTCATTTTTTTTAATAATGTTGTTTATGGTGTTTGGCTTTTGGTTAATTAATTTATTAATTGATTTTTTTTAAATTAAGTATTTATTTGTTATTTGTCCTTTTCTAATTTTTATTATTTTCTCAAGTTAGCAGCCACAAGTTGGTTTTCATCCAGTCACGTAGTTTCATTTACATTCCAATTTTTTAATATATTTTTTTCTATTTAATGTTTTCCAATGATCATTTGCATTCCGTCACACGTTTTATTCACTTCAAAAAAAATTTTTACTCCAAGAAATAAACTTTTATAATATCGCGTTTTTGGTGTTTCTCAAAGATCATAAAAATCTCAACTCTATTTAGATCCCAGCCTAAATTGTATCAAATTTTTCATTCAATGTATTCTAACGTATATTCTAATTTTATTTTATTTTTGCATTATTATTTTTCTTTTATTAATGCTTTATTCTTATTGTGACTAATGGCTTGCGAGTTCTACCCATCTATGCGTTTATCCGAGTTTGATTTTTGTAAAAAATATTATCTTCATTTATATAATATAAATATATATATGTGTGTGTGTGTGTGTGTGTCTGTGTCTGTGTGTATGTGTTTGTGTCTGTGTGTGTGTAATTACCGTTAAAAAGTAAATACAAAACAAATAATAGAGAAAATAGCAATTTTTTGTTTTTAGAAACATGGGATCTTATCAGTGAAATGCCATCTGTCATGCATCTGCTTGTTTCTCGTATGCGAGCTTCAAATGGCTGCTGACGGCATGGATACGATAGGATGATATTTAATTGAATCATGGCGTGAAGCATTTCGTTAAGGGGTTGTTAATTATATATCATCATCGCTTGAGTCCAATTTGGAAATGTTCCTTTTTGATTTATTATGTTTGTTATTGTTGTTGTCTTTGATTCTTACTTTGTGTATTTTACATCTGCTGGTCAGTATTGCCTGTGAAAAATTCTTCAAAATGACGTACATCAATCCATCTTCAGTTCTCAGAAAATACCATCAATCGCAACCGTGCACTTCTTCTTTGGGCTTTAAGGCCTGGTGTCATTTTTTGGTTTCCATGAACAGTTATCACATTTTACAATTTTCACAGTTTATTAATAATTTTCATTCACTTTCAAAGATTTATTTATTTTGGTAATTTTTTAATTGTTTTATTTAATTGATTTGCATAATATTTTCACAAAATTAGATTTTGTCTGGTGTCATATCAATTTTAACAAACCGTGGCCAATATCATTGGCAGGCCTCACCCTCGTTCCAAGTGCCTTCAATAATTTTCTAGTTAAAAAAACTGACTGGCAAAGCTAATTTAATATTTTTTAATCTGTAAGTTGATTATGAGGTTCTCGATAAATCGGATGATGAAGAATATTCTGAATCAAATTCAACTTTTATATCCGGTTGAAAAGTAAACATTGGACAAAGTTAATTAAATTGCTTGATTGGTTTGTGGTACAATGATGAAAAATCAGAAAATTCAACTGCAGCAGTTAAATTACATTTAGTTACAAATACGTTTTTTTCAATGACTAAAATGTACTTTCATGTTTCTCCATTCAAAACTGAAATAGATTAATTAGTTGCGCATTTCAAAAGCGCAAGCCAGCGTAGAGACACAAATTTTTTTGAAGATGTTTCCCCCATGACTAATGACTGCGCCAAATGCTTATGCGTTATATCATAAATCAGTTAGATTTATTTTGAATTGCCTCAGACATTTGTTTTTATGCTTCAATGGCAATTTCTTTCCTGCCACATGCCAGCTAACTCACGTCTCCTACTTAATTTACTTCCATTCAACTTTTTAAATTTAATTTTCAATAATATATAATAATCAGTATCCAATAATTATATTAATTTTTGAACATGAGTTTCTTTTTACTTTTGCTTGTTTCTCTCTCTCTCTCCCTCTCTCTCTTTCTCCTTTGCACGCATGTTTTACGGTAGTAATTAAAAATCTATATAAAGTATGCGATGCTCGTGTCAACTCAACATGTGTGCTGAAACATTGCAACGTTCAGACAAACAAGCGCCGAGTTCGATGATCCTTGCGCTGTCAACACCAGCCAGCCAGCTCAGCTGCAGTCAGTTAGTTGCACTCAACTTGAATCATATTTCGTCAAGTTCATGCTTCCTTATCGTCGTCTTTCATCATCATCATTTTGTTATCACTACCTATTCTTATCATTACCATTCATTGTTTTCATCTGCATTGTCACGCCATTACCATCACTGTCGCCACCATGTTTTTGTTTTACGTCATCATTATCATCATCATCTTCGTCATCATCATCGTCGTCATCATCATCATCCGTCATCGTAGTTTTCAGTACGGTATCTGTTCATCTTCATCACCATCGTCACCACTATTTTCATTGCCAACATCATCATCATCATCATCATTATCATCATCATCATCATCATCATGCTGATTTTATAAATGTTTTAATAGTTAAATTATAATGAAAAATTTTATAGAAATATATTCACAATTTTAACAAGTGGAGAAATATTTGTAAACAGGAACAAATTTATACATAATTCATAATTGCACTCACTCATCGTGTTCAGCGAGTTAGCTCAGTTGGTAGAACTGCCAGTTATCGTCTCGTGCAGCTACGCGATGGCTTGGTTCGAATACTGTCTGCTCGAAAACTCAATGATTATATCATTATACGATTATAGCATACTTGCGCGTGCTTACATAACGTAGGTTGTGTGATTTGTATAGTTAAGCATTTGCGGCACGAATACTTCAAAAATAGGAATAATATACATAGTTATATAAGCAGTTCGGTGGTATGTCTGACATGCTAAATGATGTACACAAATAATACCGTACTATAATATTTTATATTTGTATTTTATGTTTAACAGAAATGCACGCAATGATCTGCGGGCATTTATTTGCAGTAGTAACAACTGACGAAATCTTCAACTTCTTGATTTTTACCGTCTCCATCAAAGTTATAACTGTAACAATTGTACATAGGTTTCGATACAAGTCACTCTGAAATGTATATTTACATCGCACGTTAATGCGTGCAATGTACACTTGCTAGAAGTAGTAGTAGTAGTAGTAGTTGTTGTAGTAGTAGTAGTAGTAGTTGTAGTAGTAGTAGTAGTAGTAGTTGTAGTAGAAGTAGTTGTTGTTGTTGTTGTAGTTGTAGTAGTAGTAGTATATGTAGTAGTAGTAGTAGTAGTAGTAGTATATGTAGTAGTAGTAGTAGCAGTAGTAGTTGTTGTAGCAGTAGCAGCAGCAGCAGCAGCAGCAGCAGCAGTAGTAGTAGTAGTAGTAGTAGTAGTAGTAGTAGTAGTAGTAGTAGTAGTAGTATATGTAGTAGTAGTAGTAGCAGTAGAAATTGTTGTAGCAGTAGCAGCAGCAGCAGCAGTAGTAGTAGTAGTAGTAGTATTAGCAGTAGAAGTTGTTGTAGCAGTTGCAGCAGCAGTAGTAATAGTAGTAGTAGTAGTAGTAGTAGTAGTAGTAATAGTAGTATGTGTGTATCGTTGCTATAAACGGACGGTCATAATCTTTCAGTTTGTTCAAACGTAACCCATTTTGCTGGGATGATAAGAAGATGGATGCCAAACTGGACCAAGTGGCAACTGCATGAAGTGCATGTATTTTTAGCCGCCGTATCTTAATGATTGAGCCGGGAAAGATTAATTAGTGTGCTGGTCAGTATAGCAGGTTGTCGTGAATTCGAAAGTGATGTCGCTGATGACGATGTTGACGGTGACGATGATAAAAAATGACAATGATAGTGATGATGAGAGCGAGAATTGATTATAAAAAAATGATGATGAAGAAGAAGATTATCGTGATGATGGAAACGAATCTGTGGAAGAAATGAAAGTTTTGATCGTCAGAAATGGACTGCTTTATACAAAGATGACGTGGCAACATAGATGGGGATGAGATGGTGGCGAGATGAAAAAATGGTGACTGCGAGATGATGAAGACGGTGGAGCAAATTGTTAAAATCAAAAAATAGTGTCATTGGCATATAATTGAGTTGGGAAAGTTTTATACAAATGAGTTTGATTCCAAGCAAATGCAATGGAGATCACGCAATTAGAATTGCATTGCACAATTCAATTATTCGTACCTTCAACTCTGCCACATCTTTGCTAACCGAGAAATACACTGTACTAAAAAAAAACAAACATTTTTATTCTTTTTGTCGCTCCTCTTTAATTTTTTCAAGAAAAAAATTCTAAAATTGATATCAACCAGATTTTAATTGAACGGCGATATCAGAGAGTTTTTTTTTATTAAACTTATTCTATTGAACATGTAATTTTAAGAAACATTTCACGTACAAACATAATGCAAGGTAGTTTACAACTGATTGAAAAATATTTTTGAGTAAAAATTGTTCATCATACAAAGTATGATCATCCTGAAACACACTATACTCGTTTTTCAGTTTTTGTTTTTGATTTTGTTTCTCATTTCCACACGCAACTTTGTACCTTCATAACGAAGAATTACTTCAATTTTAATCAATTTAATGTTATTGACACAATGTAAATGAATTTGTATTGAAAAATTTGTATTCTAAAAAACTTCAAAAAAGAAGGCTAAATGTTGTAAAGCAATTTGTTAACGTTTGTCTAATTAATGATCGTGCAGGCGAACTATAAAGTTACATAAGTGCCATTTCCTGTCCTTCTTTCAGCATTACATTTTTCAGTTTCGATTCCTCTTCTTTTATTTTTGTCACATGTAATATTTATTTATCTCTATTTCTTGAACAGATCTGTAAAAAGTTGTTTATGTTCGTTATGCAGTTAGACGAGAAGGTCGCCTTACATGTAGATCGCAACATTTTTTACGAGGAGTTCACTGATGCCCATGTCAACTCCATTCAGCATCGTTTGCAACTTTTGTTGTCAGGGCAATCAAATATAAAATATGAAATTAAAAAGTAAAATAAAAAAAAAACACATATATTTAACTACAGAAAATGATTACTATCAAAATAGTAGTTGATGTTATAGTAAAACGGCGATTCATTAGGCAACACGCCCAGCTGTCTCAGAGGCACCGAGCCAGCATCCACAAAATGAAAAATTTTAAGGTGCTTTTGAAATTCAAATAACGAATTAGTGACTTTTGATCCTAAAACAAGTGTTTAAGATATTTGAAAAATTAGATCAACTCAATTTTGTTGAGAAAATATTTTTTGAAAAAGTTGTACGTTTCCTAAACTATGTTCTCATAATTTTGTTTCAACACCATCACTCTAACTTCATCAGAACATTAAAAAGTTCAATGTTTTCTACAGCTTACTGTTCAACAAATTGTTAGTGTAATGTATAGTATATTGTAAACAACACGGCTTTTAACTTATTATTTCAACTTTTTTTATTTTCACCAAATTTTTTTTTTACATATTTCATTTTTATTGAGTTTAATTATTATAATTATTATTTTTATATAAAAATATTTATATTTGTTACATAATTAATAAAAATTGACAACGTCAGTTTGATAGCATATTTATATCCATTCATCTTCCTGGAAGAGAATCTGAAACGCATGTGCAAACATAGCGAACAAATAACATCATAAAACCTGAAGCAGGCACTTGAAGTTATCATTATAAATTCTCTCGTGTTCGATACTAACTACGTGATGTTCTTCTATTCATTTTTTCATTCTGACTGATTTCTCCACATCGCTACAATTCGTATCATATTTTATTTTCAGTAGTCGGTGAGAAGATGAATGAAGACGATAATAACTGTTTAAATAAAATAAAAAAAAATTGAATGGCTGTTATGATTTTAAAAAAAAGCAGAAGTAAACTGATGAACATGTTGGTTGGCAATAATGATGACATATTGTGAAAATACAAATTTTTAATTTGAAAGATTAATTACTTATCGATGATATTTAAATAACAATATTTTCTGAAAATAAAATATTAACTTTTCATCAATTTTTATATGATTTTCGATTTTTTTAAATTTTATAAAAAGAAAACATTTTTTGTGTTTAGGTATATAACTTACTAACTCTTACTGAAAACAATTTGCAGCCGCAGTTGACGCTGCCAAACTGATGAGTTACTTGAACATGCCTTGGCTTGCCTTCGCATCTTCAGAGCAAATATTAGGTTCATGCTTTTTTTCCTTCCTTTGTTAACGATCTCACAGTTGGAAGTTTCATTTCAATATTTGTTTATCTTTTTTTTATCTGTTTAAGTTTTGTTCGAATTTTCTTCGTCTGCATTTTTCTTAGGGCAATAGAATGTTGACGTTTTGATTTGTGAAATGAGATATCTTGCATTGCATGCTCTAACGTTAATTTATTCCAATATCCTGCATGGTAACACCATTTACTATTGTTGATTATTTCACTGGGTTGTCTAACTTAATAGCTTTTTAACAAGACAAATATTCGATTTAACATTTTAAAATTTGTAAAATATAAAATAAAATTGAGAAAAATTTGTAATGACATTTGCAAACAAAACTTCCATCCAACCAGCCAAACAACAAACAAACCAACCAATTAACCAGCCAACCAACCACCCAAACAACTAACCAACCAAACGACAAACAAACCTACCAACCAACCAACCTACCAACCTACCAACCAACCAACCAACCAACCAACCAACCAACCAACCAAACAACCAACCACCCAAACAACAAACAACATCTTTAATGCAGGCAACACTAGTCTCTACAGCACGTTAGTCCGTCTCTTCAGTCCATACGACCGCATGGGGCAGGCACTCGTCAAACTGTTGGCTCATTTCATGGTTAGATAACGCACAACCATCACGCACGCACAAATACACACACACACACAATACACATACACACAAATATGTTTGCCAATTATATATTGGTGTTTCGATATTATACAAAATATTTTTATTATCATTAGAATATACTTTGTAAAATTTTACTTCAGGATTATAGCGCAAATTGAATTTAGATTAAAGGGCATTCAATATGATAAACGAAAAAATTAATAAATACGATGCATCAGGTGCGAAAATAATGGCAGACGATCTGATCAAGTCATGAGCTACCTTCATACGCAAGCTCTTTCTTTTTCATCTATTGATATTTTCGAATCGACAAAAATCAATTGAGCTTTTTGCAAGAACACATGTGACGAACATAAAAAAAAAAATTCTCCATCCACATGACTGAACAAACAATGAACGAGGAGCATTATCTCGTTCGACGTAAAAACATTCTTACGAGAAAAACAAATGTAACCGGGCAGGCTGGAGTTGAGGCTTGCATGGATTTATGCATAACCACCAGCTGGAAGAACATTCACAAACGAACGAAACCACACAAACCATGTGCAAGCTTTTTTAAGATACGCCTGGATTAAATAAATATACATAACCTTAGTAAATCATGCAATCATAAACGGAGTAAATAACATTTTTCATACTATACTGGTATGAAGATATTCATATAAGAACATACTGCCCTACATCCGTGTGTGTGCGTGTGTGTGTTTGTGTGTGTGTGTGTGTGTGTGTGTGTGTGTGTGTGTGTGTGTGTGTGTGTGTGTGTGTGTGTGTGTGTGTGTGTGTGTGTGTGTGTGTGTGTGTGTGACGAGTACGATGAAATCTTGAAACCCGCGGACAGTGGAGTGTCGTGTGGGTGATGTCGCAAGCAGTTGAGGAATGCACCTACTCGGTGAGGTCCATCAGTGCTGTCTTCACCAAGTGCGGCATCACCATCAACGCTTTCAACGATGCCATTCCATTCAACGATAAAGGCAATCACACAAAATTGGATGATTCTTTGAATGACATCAAATCGAAAGCAAGAAGTTTGTTTTATGGGATCTTACTAAAATTATTATTATTAACGCACATGTATAAGTCTGTCCATCTAAATAAATATAACACATAAATGCATTTCTCGACGTTAAATAGACCGACGACAGATACAAACGCATGCACTTTGCATGAGATTGACCGGATGGTAGAAATTGCGTTTCTATTAGCTTGACCAACTTTTTAACACTTTTTATTTTGTAGACATTTTTAATAAACCAAATTGAACTAGCAATTACACCATTTTTGAAAATAGTAAGTTGATCAAATATACTCAATTCCTTAACATATTTAGGCGAATTTCGTTTTCATTTTATTTAAAAACAATTTATTTACCACTGCTGCTGTGAACCATGCCAGTTATTCTGTTGTGTGGAACAACGAGTTTCATCGGGCAGACGATCAGCAGTGCATATAGATTGGGAATGATGACGGGAGAGTTTGCGTTCATCGTCTTCACTCAACTACCACCCGTCCACGTCAGAGAACCCTGGCTGGATTACGAAAACGAGATTCCTCTCGAGGCTTTCAAATACGTCATTCAGGTGGTTCTACTGAATTTTTTCATCGAGTTGGACATTCTGAAAGTCTGTTCAACAGTCTTTTTGCTTTGTTAACCTTAGTAACTCTAAAAGGGTTTTTATTATAGTTTATATAATAAAAAAACATATGAAATGATATTTTTAAGGAGCAAGTAAAAAATAATTTCGATTTCATAGTTTTCTATCCATCTGGCGGATGCAAACGTGAGCAACACGAAGGAGTTTTTGGAGGAGGTACCCGTAAGGATGGCTGAGCCGCCGTGGAATTACAACAATTCACTCCTCAACAACATTTCTGTGAGTATTTTTTTTTCACTTTACTTTTGCCGTTTCATTATGCTCCTGATGTTGAAATTTCAATTTTGAATAATTTTTATAAATGTCTTGAAATATTGATCCCAGCGTTGTTCAGTCTGTAGCTGGTGTTGTTGATGTTATTGTTAGAATTTTAAATGTAAACTGCGTCAATTCAGACGACATGAAATAAAACTGCCAACCATTTTAAAATTTGAATATAAACGTTTTATAATTTTAACAAGGCATGTAAAAATTTTATTATTAGCAACAGAAAAACAGTAAAAAACAAATGTTAATATCGTTCAGAGCAGCAAATGCAAATAGAACGCTCGCATACATCTGTGTATGTTTGCACATTAGTGTGGCTACCTTTTTCTGGACATCGCTTGTAATTGCAGTAAAAACATATCAATTGTTTGCAAAAAAAAAAAAAAAAAAAAAAAAAACTTGAAAAAAGTCATTTTTTTCATAAATCGTGTAACGTACAATGTGTCAATATTCAATACGACACTAGGCCAGTCAGTATGCCCTCTACCTGTACGACACTGTCTACGTGTATGCCATGATGGTCGACCAGTTCGTTAACTCCTCTCAAGATATCAAGAACGGGGCTGCCTTCTTGAACAACGGGAGAAATTTCACTCTCACTGACAGTTTAACATTGTTTTAATTCTCTATATTTTATTTAGTTCATTGCTATCGTGCCATTAATTGTTTGCTCATCAGAAATTATTTCAACCGTTTAAAATTTCCTCTATTACCTTAACTTCCTTGAAAATAGTTATCCAAAACGCAACCAGCTTTTATTGTTGTAATAGTTTCATTCTGTGTTTTGCATTCTTAATAATTCCATTAAAAAACACGTAAGCATTAAATAATCTAAGCCCCATTTCACCACAACCCATCAGAAAAGACAGGGGACATCGTGATTGATTACAAGTCTGACCGCATTGAAGATTACTCAGCGTGGCAGTTTGATCAGGCCAGCTCCCTTTACAGAGTTCTCCTTAAAGTGAAATTCTTTATTATATCTTGTGTGTTGATAATTTAAATTTATAAAAGGTGCTTTGATTGCTTAACGAAATGCATTAATGAAAAGAAAGATAATTTTGTTTCAAATATGCCAATTTGATGAATAATTATTCATTTTTCAGTAAAAAAATAAAATTTCAAGTTAATTCGGTCTAATTAAAAAAATAATTTAAATAATATAAACCAAATAAATTGAATTTATACAAACAACAGTTAAAAATTAAAAAGTTTTCAAAATTTTCAACGAAGGTTCCATTGACGAACACTGCAACTATTCCACTCGAAGCTGATCCATGTGCTTCTACTGTGGTGTGTATGTGTGTGTGTGTCGTGTGTGTGTGTGTGTGTCGTGTGTGTGTGTGTTTGACTGGTATTTTTTAAAATTGTATTTGCTTTCCTCTGTTTTTTTGGATTTGTTTGTCTTTTTATTTCCATCCTTTTATCACACTTTTATCATATTTGTGTGCATTATCATATAATTATGAATATTTACGTGAATCTCTGCTTCTTTTTACATATAATATGGCTATTATTATTTAATATTATTGTTATTTATTTAATATGAATGTACTCTGTTTGTTAAGCATCATTTGTGTTTCACTCAGTATCTACAACATCTACCTACATACATCAGTTATGTGATAGCATGGATGTGCTATGTTTGCACGAGGCACGTGATTGAGTGGATTCGTAAACAAACATTTTTCTCTTTTTCTTTTTGTTTCATTTTTTAAGCATCTCCTCGTGTAGGAATCTTCGTTTTTTATGATACTTTGTTTAGATTTGCCTTAAAAATGTGAAATATGTCTGCTAGCCTCATGATTGGAAATGTTTTATTTAAAAAAATGACTGTTTTTCATGAATCCGAGTCTGGTATAAAATGGTTTATCGAACAATTAGAAATTTTTTGTTTCTCCTCAATCTTTTTACAAATGACTCTAAATATTTGCTCGCATGCAGACCATCATCATAGTAAATGTATTGAAAATTTTTTCGTTTTCCAATGAGCAGGGCGTCGAGATCAAAGCCAACTCCAGCGTTATATTCCCCAGAGACGTTCCAGCATGTGGATTTGCCAATGAGAACTGCATGAAAGCACCTGCTGGTGACTATTTTCGTACAACTGATTAACGCATTTTCGTTTCTTAAGTTTATATCAGTAAATATATATCCCTAGCATTGTCTTATATAACACTTTCAGTTCGTTACAAGTTTGTGTAATATGTGAAACTCCGTTCTGCTTTCTATGGTTACATAATTTCTGTTATATTTAGTCTCAAACGAGAATGCCGTCATCATAGGCACGTTGGTCAGTTTGTTCTTCGTCCTATTCTTTGCTGCGGTGGTCTTCAACACATTCAGGTTAACAATTAATAATTCTGGTCGTTAATTCTAACATGTCGTTAGAATTAGGAAAATGTTTTTGTTTTGAAAATTTTCGCTATTTGTGTTAGTCAGTAATCACTATTGGTTTTTCCAGTACAGCTTAATTTTATTTGCAGCTGTTGTTTTATTATTCTCTTTATATTCTTTATGTATGTAAGCTGTTAAGCTTGAAAAAACCATATAGAATCTTTACGTATTGTCTATTTATATTGGATACTTTCTAAAATTGAGATAACTTGAAATGGCGATTAAACAAGTTTTGTCTAATACTTTTTAGAAAATAATTTTCGAATTCAAATATAACATGTTACCTCATGTGCCTGACAGGCGCAAGAAGTACGAGAAAGAAGTGTTGATGATGAGGTGGAAGATCAAGTACGACGAGATCCTCCTCTTCAACAAGAGCAAGTTCAGTCAGAGTGTGATGGGAAGGGTAGGGTTACTTATTTCAATCATTTTTTATTTTTATTTATCTCTTTCTTATTTTTGTTATTTTTATTATTTTTTATTATGTATTTATTTAACTAGAATTACATCAGTTTACGACAAAAAATATAATTTACCCGAAATAAACAAACCTTAGAGCATTTACGTAACATTGGTATGTGAGACTGTTTTGAACTGATGGGATAAAAATACTTTCCAACCACGTGACAACGTTCCAGACGATGGACGCCGAGATGTACGCCATGCAGAAAGTGACCAACATGCTGACCGGCCAGTACTTGGGCATCAACGTCGTCCTGAAACATCTGCCGACCAACCATCTGGTCCTTAGTAGAGAGGATCTGCTCGAACTCAAAATTGTTATTTGGCTTATTCATTGTACACTGTTTTGAATAAGAACTTCAAAATGGTGTAGAAATTTGAATAAATTATGCTCATGTAATTGTACAAAATTAGAAAATTATCAATTTCATCCATACCATCTTTTTTTATATAAAAAAAATGTTTCACGATTAATCAGATGTTTACTATATTGAAAATTTAACAATTTGTTGCTGAAATGATAACTTGAAAAGTTGAAATGACATAAGAGTTGACATAACTGCAAAAACAAAATTTGAACAGTTTTTGCAACAGTTATAATTGATATAAAACAACATTGGATAATAGTTATAATTATAATAGATGAAGGACCTGAACTTCGAACACTTGAACAGTTTCATCGGCCTCTGCATCGACCCCGAAAAAGTTTACATTCTCAGTGCTTTCTGTTCTAGGGGATCTCTTCAAGTAAGAATTTAATAAAAGAAACATTAAATTTTCATTTTATTAACGCTTTGGTGTTTCTCTTATTTTACACGTTTACATTTTTATTTGTGCGTTCACATCTCTATGTGTTTGTATATTATTTTATTTTTATTATTCATATAAAAACGCATTACTTTGTTTGCTGGTTAAGTTTTTAATTGTTGCACCTTTGACCCGACACCGTCAGGACATACTGAATGATAACGTGATAAAGTTGGATGAAAATTTCAAACTTTCTTTCATCGGCGAGATTATGAAGGTTACGACAAGTTTTTACGAACTTCTTCATGATTCTAACCAAATATTAGAATTTAAACTAAACCTCCATCCAATCTTCAAAAGTGGCCGGCAGTTTTTTTTTTTTTTCTATTTATTCACAAAAAAAGTGAAAGAGTCAGCCTAGCAATGAATGCTTTATCTAGGTTTGACTCCCATAAAACAAGAAATAACATAGTAAGTAATCAAAAAAAAATACAATAACATAAATGAGAAAAATAAATTAAATTAAGTCTTTTAAATTCTTCAATGTTCTTAAATTTTCATGAATGAACTTAGAAATAAAACATTGATACATTTAAACTTAAAAAATGAATAAAATTAAAAATAAAATATTAATACATTTAACTTAAACAATTTAAAATGTTCTCAACTCCTTTTTAAATTCTGTTAGATTATTAATTGATCTTAAATATTGTGGCAGATTATTCCATTTATAAGGTGCATAATAACAAAAGTTCCTGGATGTTATTTTATTTAAATTCATTAATATTAATGGTTTAATTATATTAGTATTGTTAGTTCTGTCAATCCTGTGGTTAGCTATAAATTTAATCGTATTAATTAACATTATATCAGTTGTAGATGTTATATTATTGATAATTTTAAATGTTAATAAAGATGATTTATTGGAATTTATTTCAAAAATTGATAAAATATTATTATTATTAAATATATTGTAATCGGAGTGATTATAATCGATTTTAAATAGAAAATTATCTTTTTTTGTTTTTTAAATTCGTCACCCTTTATACTAATGATTTTATTTTGATTTTTACGATGAATTTTTCAGCATTTCACTCAAAATGAAATTTAAAACAATTTTTAAAAATCCCACCGACTCTCCTTCTCAGGGGATGGATTATCTTCACAAGTCGCCGATAAAGCAGCACGGGCGGTTAAAAAGTTCGAACGTGTTGGTGGATGGGAGGTGGATAGTCAAGATAACAGACTGGGGGCTGATGAGGGTCAGGCAGAAAGAGTATGATACCGTCAACGAAACTTTCAACGGTTGAATAAGTTTTTTTTATATTTTGTAGAGTTCATTCATTATGTTATTGATCTAAAATTTTCAATTTGTTTCTTCAGTTCTGTAAAGAAGAAATGTATCTCTTTGTAATTAAATATTAATTTTTGCTATTTGCTAATTTGATTTTCAAATTTTCGAAACTTAAAATTTATCAATTCAAATGCAACATTGATTTATTGAAAATACTTTAAAAAGATTTTTCAGACAATATTGTCGAAAACTATCAACTGACTATTCTATTTTAACTGCACTATGGCTTCAATTCATCTGAAATACGTTAAGTTTAATGTTTAAAAATCCACTCACCAAAACTGAAGCCCTACTGTGGACAGCCCCTGAAATTCTGCGCGAGACTCTCGAGTCATCTACCTCACTATCTCCAAATAGTTGGATCGGCAGTCAAAAGGCCGATGTGTACAGCTTCGCCATCATTCTGCATGAAATTATTTTCAGGCTGGGGACTTTCTACGTGCAGTCTGATGCCTGCGTCAGTTCCAGAGGTGCGTTGCACTGGCTATCATTTATTACATAATCTTTTGATTTATTATATATGTTTAAAAAATTGCCGAAATTTTGTTATTTAAAAAATACTTATATTTTATCAACAAAAAAATTTTCTCTCCACTTTACTGACTTAAATAGTTTAAATAGCATTATGTCTTGCAATATATTTTATGTCTACGGCATTCTTAAAATAATTTTATATGACGTTTTCATTTTAGCTCGAATAAAATTTGAAAGTTTCTAAACACCAATTTATCTCTGGATAGAGATAGTGATGAAGGTGAGATCAGGTGAGATGCCAGCCTTCCGGCCAAGCACGTACGAGGAGGGCAAGCAGGACCACAACCTGCTGGCCATCATGTACGAGTGCTGGGACGAGAACAACAGCAAGCGACCTGACTTTGCCAGTTTGAAATCAAGATTCTCCTCTCTATATAAGACCAAGTTAAACAAATAAATGTTTGAATTAATCTTTTTCATATCTATCTTTTTAGCAAATGTACAAAATGATGTGTTTTTTAAACAGATTTTTTGTTTTTACAGAGATCGCATAGTGCAAAGCAGGGATTATTTTCAGTTGAGACATTAAATGTTATCTTACAAACATTACCAAAATAATTGCTTTTCAAGGCCCATCATTTAATGTCTATTAGAAATAATTGCAACGATGCATGCATTTTAGTCTGAATTTTAAAATTGAAATATCACTTTTGCAACCGGCACAAATTACATTCATTCCCGAAAAATGCTAATACAAACCACCGCAAACTTTAATACGGATCCATCACAACCACCACCACACAAGAAACTTGAACTTGATTGACAACATGCTGACAATGATGGAGAATTATTCCAACAACCTGGAAGTCCTGGTTGAGGAAAGGACGGTGCAGCTTCTTGAGGAGAAGAAAAAGACAGATCGTCTGCTCTACAGCATGATGCCGGCGTCAGTTCTCACCTTTTCTTCATTTTTGTCATTATGTATACACACACTCACACACATATTGACACACCCACACATAGACACACCCACACACACACACACACACACACACACACACAATATATCTATTATTTTAAAGGAGCGTAGCGGATCGGTTGAAGTCAGGTGTGAAGGTAGACCCGGAGTTGTACCCCAGCGTCTCCATCTACTTTTCCGACATTGTATCATTCACCACCATGGCGGCACAGAGTACTCCAATGCAGGTTGAGCATTGGTTGTTGACGATGATAATTTTAATGATAATGACGTTGTTCCTGAAGATGCAGCAGCTGCTGAAGCTGCTGCTAATGCTACTTCCTACTGCTAGTGATGACGATAATGATCTCATTGGTGGTGATGATGAAGATGGTTATGATGATGATGTTAAAATTGAAACTTTTCCATCATAGCATTAATTTATTTTTAATTAAGACGATAAAACGTTGACAAAACTACGTTACAGCAATCACTAATTGCCTGTTAAAAAATTGTTTTTGAAAAACTTGTTGAACTCAGCAGGCAAATTAAATGCAATAACTCAATTCAGGTAGTTAACTTACTGAACGACCTGTACATAATGTTTGATGACGTCATCAAAACTTTCAACGTCTACAAGGTTGGTGGTGAGGTGCAGACGGTATGTTTCAATATAACGTCACAAAAATTTTTAACAGAATTTTTTCCAACTCTTTCATTGGAAATTGCTGTTTGTTAATTAGAAGATGATGTAAAATGCTAACTTCAAGACTATTTCATTCGAATTAAAAAGCAGTTTGACGATTAATTGGTTTTTGCCTAATTTTTTTACATTGAAATGAATAAAAAAAAATTCTAAAAAATTCAAATATAGGTGGAGACGATCGGGGATGCGTACATGGTGGCCAGTGGAGTTCCCGTACCCTACGACTCACACGCGCTTGAGATCGCCATGATGGCCCTCAAAATCAGAGAGGGTGTGGCCGCCTTCAAAATTCAACACATGCCTAACAAGAAACTCCAAGTCAGTCTAGCGCCACTTGTCGATGACGCGATGTAATGTTATAATGATTTGAGACTGTCATTAAATTATATTGCATTATAAGATGTCAAACTGTGATGTTATAATCTGTTGTAAAGATGACATTTTATTATGTGATTATGTAACGTGATGTTTAGATATTTTTTTTTTGAAATGTGATGTGAGTTGAGGTGACGTGGTAAGAGGTAGAGCGGTAGTTTCACATCACTTGACTATAAAGCTAGGAGATTTGAAAACTTTGAAGCGTAAATGATATTAATGATGATTTTGGTAGCTAGCGATATTGTTGGATGAATAATAAACCAGGTCCGTATAGGACTCAATTCTGGATCAGTTGTTGCTGGAGTTGTGGGCCTGACGATGCCTAGGTTGGTTGCTTGGTTGACTCGATGTTGGTTGAATGATTGACTAATAGTTGGCTAGCTGCTTGGTTAGCTGAATAATTTGCTAAAGGCTTAGTTGCCCTATATATTGCAAATTGCTGCTTATTATTTGATTTGTTAGTTGATCAGTTGTCAGTGTAATTAAATTTTTGAAACATGCATCATAAATACAAATATATAATTATAAACCTCTTGATACGTATAAAGGTATTGCCTGTTTGGAGACACAGTTAACACGGCAAGTCGCATGGAATCAACCGGGGAAGGTGAGGTGATCCACCATGCTCGCTATCTTTCAAGATAGCGAGCATGTGGATCTTATTATTTTATGGCTGATTAATTTGTTCCCATTTATCAATTTATTCTTTTTTTCGTTATTATTATTAATATATTTATTCAATATTTGTCTACCTCTGAGAAACCCTTTAAGAGTGATTATATAATTTATTTAATTCAACTAAAGTGTAAATTGAAATAAACTCATATCAGTGCGCTTTTTCGCGAGTGCTTTTGTCAATGAATCAAATATTCATCTGTTTCTAAGAAAAGACAACTTTTTGATGACAACGATGATGATGACGACGTCGAATAACTATAAGTTATTATTTTTCCAACCTAGCGATGAAGATTCAAGTGAGCGAAGCCATGCACCACCTGCTGACCGACACTAAAGCTGATTTCGTCATGACTGAAAGAGGCACCATAGAAGTTAAAGTTAGTCAGCACTTTCAATCTCACTGTCTTTTGTTATGCTGGGGCTTATGGAAAAATCAATCATTTTCTTTACTCATTTATAGTTAATTTGTCAAATTTTTAAATACAATTGTAATTTTTTTTTTAGTATAAATTCAGCTTGATCAAAAATTTATCTCCCAATTTAGGGCAAGGGCCACCAAAGAACGTATTGGCTCGTTGGTCAAAAATGTGATGCAGCGGTTGCATAGATATCTTAACAATTCATACACACAAATTAGATAAATATTGTTTTAGTCGCATTCGTGGTAAGGAGCTATTTGAAGAGGATTCAAACACTCAATAGTTTTTTATTTTTTTGAATGTTCTTATTTTGACAGATTTTTTAATAATTTTTGATGTTGTATGCGTAGGATATTATCATTTTTTTTTATAATAGGCTTCGTTTTGTTTCGTCTGTACCAGTGCAACATCTAATTCATTCACATGTCCAAGTTTTTATATCGCTTAAACTATTCAGAGCAATTTTTGTAAGTAAATCATTTTTTTTACATTGTGAGTTTTTTAAATACATTTGGATATACTTATACATTAAAAAAAATAATTTCTACTTGGAATATCCAAATTTAGTTGTTTGTTATTTCTACCGAACGTCATCTCTCGATCCGATCAGTGCCTAGTTATCTTTATACATGAACTCGCCTTATAGTTTGATTTATTTAATGCTGGGTTTATATGGTGAATTAAGCCGATAGTTTGATACTAGATACTTGTGACTAGTACTCAATCTTCTGAAAATGAAAATGTACAATTTGGCAATGAAAACTTCGACATTTTTGATAGATAGTAACTTGAATCAAGGGAATGGTTATCATTTTTATATTACTGATTACGCATCATAGCTCGATTTTTTAAATATGGCCTTGTGAATTCCGAATTAAGTTTGAAGTTTTTTAATAGATTCATGTAGTAGTCAATCACCCGAGTAAGCATTTGTGAATGGAAATCCTGACAATGTGGTGTGTAGTATCTTGAATCGAACGATTGATTGACATTATGTTATATTGAACACGCTCTATACTTCAAATTATTTTCTCTATGCGTCACATGGAATTATTCAATGATGCGTCGTTTATAGTCAATTAACTGGATTTATAAATATTTTAACAAATTCACCTAGTGCTCACTCTTCTGAACATGAAAATGTATAATTTGATGATGAAAATCCGACATTTTTAATATATAGTAACATGAATCAGCGAATATATATCATTTTTGTTTTACTGAACACGCATTATCAATTTTTTAATGTGGCTTTTATATTGAGATTTAAGCCGGCAGATTTTCAATAAATTCATGTAGTGTTGAGTCTCCTAACCGTGAATATGTATAATTCTTTTATGGAACCCTGATTAATTTACTTAGAATATCATATGACATAATGGTTGATGATGAAGTCTAGTCTCATTGTGGCTGCCTGTATTCCGCTGGTCATTAGATAGACCTATGCTTTTTAAATATCCCTTCCTCGTCGTGAACTTATTTCTATAAAACAAAGAAAATAGTAATTTATCTTTAAATTTTTATAAATAATTTTAATAATAGTATTAAAATAATCAAGTTTTTTAATATCAGATATTTTTAAATTTTGAATTACAAATTTTCCATTACGAAAAAAGAAATATGACGGACGTGCCAGCGATGTTGAAATTGTTCTGGAGTCGGTATGTAAATTTCGAGACACTGATCGCCGTCTTCGTGCTTGTCCTCGTGTACCAGCTAGTCTTAAGAAACGAAGCCCTGCACGACTTCGTTGGCCGTCTCCTCATAAAATTAGAATTGCGCCTCACAGGCAACTATGATCACGTGCCTGTAGATGGCGAGAGTATTGTTTCTGGCTACAAGACAAAAGCCTCGTGGGAGTTCACAAAGGACAACGTCAGCGTTTTTGCAGTTCAAGGACGTCGGCCGCACATGGAAGATCGATTCAATGTCGTTTCGCCACTAGATGATACTGGGACAAGTATTTTTGGCATTTTTGATGGCCACGGTGGTGATGTAAGTAAGCAAACTTCTTTATTATTTAAATTTTTTATAATATTTTAATTAAATCAATGAAATGAAATCCATTTGATTTTTTCAAAATTAATATTTTTGGAGCACCAGCTTCACATTATTTAATTTTAGTTAAGTAGCAATTATTTATTAATTTGTTTATTGTTCAATTCATTTATAAAACAAATCTTAACAAAACAATGCTTATTATATGCATATTGCAAGCGATAGGATAGTAATTCTTTAATAAATCAGGTCTGTAATGATCAGTTCAAATTTGCGTCAACCTTTCATTCTAAAATTTGAGTATTTCACTCATAATGAATATTTTTTAAACTTAGTTGTGATTTTAATAAAAAATTTAGACAGAATTGTTTTACTTTTTAAAATTGATCACTCGTTACGTTTAAATATAATTTTGTAACTAATCATAGTTTGCAGCAGATTTTGTTGAGAAGACACTCTTCAAATCCATCATGGTCCGCCTCTTGAAAACTTCTCTGAAGAGGCAGCTCTCTCAAAATGTGGAAAGTGATTTGGAAACAGAACAACAGCAGCATAAAAGTAATGAATTCAACAACAATCACAATCATGAAAAACTGGAATATGTAAAAATTGAAAACATGAAAAAAGATGCAGACAGCAATGAACAAGTTATTAAAAACATTGAAAAAAGTGTTGACATTCTCCATGAAAACTCTGGGAAAACTGATGAACGCCACGAACATAAAGCACTCCCTCATAAAATATATCAAAGCGTAAATAAGAAATTGAGGAAAATAATCAGAGATGAGATTTTAAATGTGGACAAACAGTTACTAGAGATTGAGAAATCAACAGGGGAAATCTCAGGTGAGACATATCAATAATTGTATAATCTTTTTTATATTTACTTAATCACATTTTCTAATATATAATCTTATAAGAAGACATTATTTTACTTCATGATTGTTTAAAGAAGTTGAGTTCATAAATATTTAGTTTAGTTAGTTATGCTTTTTTGATTAACCCTTATATGATGTGTTTGTTTTTGTGGGTGAGTATGTGTGGATATGCTCTTTATAACTTCTGTCAGGCTAATTGTCAAACTACTAACGGGCAGAAATTGAAATAGCAACTGCGGCCACCTAGAAAATTCGCCTTAAAAATGTTTTGGCTCATTTCATTAACTAAGTTCTCATTGACTTTATAAGCCTAAGCACCATTCTGTGTTAATCCAATTAGAAAGTTAATAAATCACTCCTTAATTAAATTGTGTCATTACATCATACATGTGCTGTTGGTGGGTGTAGGCAAACTTTCAAGCACTAGTCTATGTGTGTTGTGTGTGTGTGTGTTTGTAGGTATGCGTGTGTTGTGTGTTTGTTGTAAAATTATATAATCTGTGTGTGTGTGTGTGTGTGCGTGTGTATGCGTGTGTGTAATAATTGACTAGAAATGGTATTTGTTGATGAAGGACTGAGTGCCATTTGTTTAAACAAATATCTGTGTTTAGTAATTTTTAGTAGTACATTTTTTTTGAGACATGTATTGGCCATTACTTACTTTACACTTCAAATGAGAATGTACACATTTTATCAGAACACACATGATGAGCAAACAATACCACCAACATTCACAATGACAAATTAACAATGATCTGATGACTAACAACACTATACAATCCACATTATAGATCAGGACTTTCATCATTATTCATTAATAATTATCATCTAAGACTTGTTATGTTATAACTCTATGTATATACTGTTTTTATTAATATTATTATTGTTATTCATTTTATCTGTATTCAATATAATATGATTTATGTAATATCATCACTTATACATGTCTTATCTTTCAATTTGAAAAACTTTGTGTTATATAAGTGCTAGTACATATATCATCACTTAAATATTATCATCATCACGTGTTATCATCACTCATGTTATTATTATTATCACATATTATCATCACTTAAGCCCCTACAGATATAAATAACTTGGTAGCAAGAAAATGTTGCTTGGAATTATTTTCACCACTTAGTCCTATTTATAAAATATTGGCCATACCTCAATAAATAAATAATTAGATAATAAATAAATAGTGATTATGAAATTGATGATGTAGTTTAGTTGATGGTGATGAAAGTGATATTTGAGAATTGTGAGTAAGATTAATAAAATGATGAAGATGGTTAAAACAATGGTGATGATGATGTTGATGATGATTACAGGCTCTACATTATTGCTGGCAATGTTGCACAAGAACACACTTATCGTAGCCAATGTTGGAGATTCAAGAGGAGTTCTATGTGACCAGAATGATAAGGTCATCCCTCTGTCCTTTGATCACAAGCCTCACTTGGTTGGTTGGTTGTTCAGTTGGTTGTGTGATCGGTTGGTTGGTTGATTGGATGGTTGATTGGATGGTTTGTTGGTTGGTTTGTTGTGGGGTTGGTTGGTTTGTTGGTTGGTTGATTGATTTGTTGGTTTTTTGGTTGGTTGGTCGCTTGGTATGACTATAAAAGTGCAAAATTAAATATTACTTTTGTTAATAATTAGTATTATATTATATCTTTATGAGTAAATTATGAATTTATTAGAAATAATTATGCAAAACACTTCAATTTGAATCAATGAGATTCTATTGTATAGATTTTAAACAAATTTTTGATGATTTGTAATCTTTTATTTATGGTGATGTAGGATGAATGCAATGATGACGAAGACAATGAGAATAATGATGATGTTGGTTACAATCATTAGTTGTGTATTTCAATGAATTACACACGGCTTTATAAATACAGACAGGACATACAATCTCATTCATCAAGATATTTCTGTAAAGAAATATATTATTATCTTCTAATTTTCTTTCCCTTGCCAATATCAAATGGTTTTGCTTTTTTTTGGTTTAGTTTTTCACATGGATTCTGTTTCACTCAGTGACTATTTCATCTGCCTCTGTTTTTGTTTGCATGCGTGTTTATATAAAGTGTGTCTGTAGTTTTTTTTTTATAACTTTTTCACACAAGCTAGCTTCTTCTTTACAGATTTTATTTTTAAACATCTTTTCGTGTTTGGTTTTTGTGTTAGTTTTTTGTCTGTGTATGTGATATTTATCTATTTTTTTTTGTCACAATTTCAACAATTTTATTAACCAAAAAGTTAAACCAACACATGTGCTTTAACAAACACAAACACACACAGACAAACAAACTGATGTACTTTCTCCAAAGAATTGATTCTGCAGGTACATACACATTGTACAGATGCCATTTTTTGTATCTTCACATTGATGCAATCACTCCACAAGTTTTCCTACTGTACTGTCTTTCATCAGTAGCAAACTTGATTTGCTGTGTCCAATTCATTCATAGATGCTTCAGTGCAAACACAGACATATATACATGGATACATAAAGGCATATACAAATAAATACATACATACATTCATACATACATGCATAAATACATACATACATACATGCATACGTACATGCATACATACATACATACATATCTACATACATACGGATCTTTTACATTTGTATTTACATGTATTTCCACCCCTTTCAACTAAAGATGTTTGTTTTCAGGTTTTGGCTTTTTTATTTTCATACCCCAAAACATATTTTATTGTTGGAACTCGATCCAGGATACGCAGCATTATAAGATCCCTCCATGCCGGTTATATGCATTTTCTCTGTTATGCATTTGTGTTTGTTGTTGGTTGCATTTACTCTGTTTTCTATGTATGCTAGTTTTTGTAAACGCTTGTATGTTCTGTATGTGTTTTGTATGTTTGTGTGTCATTGTTGTTGCATGTGCTTGTATGTTGTTGCATATATGTTTTGTATGTTGTTGTATTTGTTTATTGTATATGCTTGCATTTTGTTCTTTACGATCATGTATGCTTTTTATTGTTCATGTATTTTTGCTGTGATCTGCATTTTTGTAGTCAGAGTACCATAATAGATATATAAGTGTTCTGATATCTTTACTTTGAAGAGACTGAGGATGTATTTATTTATCTGCCCTGCTCTGTAGTGCAGGCAACAAGTTTTTCTGTTTGCACAGGTTTGCACAGCTCTAATGGTGGTTCTTGTTTTGATGTTTGCACAGTTCTAACAGTGGTTCTTGTAAATATGATGGATGATTTTTTTTGGATCATAATGAAAGGATAAGATATAGATTCCCAGTGAACAAAAATGAAGTTATTTATATTTCATGCAGATCACTCATGAAAGAATCTTAATCAGCTGATTGATGTTCATGTGATAGTTGTACGTTCATCATCATTATTTGAATTGAATTCTTGCAGAATGTATATGGTGATAAACCTGACATTCAGCAGACAATTCAATCAGTACATCCTGATTAAATCTCAAATAAATTCTCAAATAAAAGTTTGCTCTGAATTAGGAACGGTCTTGTTTTAATGAATGTTAAATTAGAAATGACACTCATACTTATAACTCATTAAACTGCAGTAGGTTTTAGCCTTAGTCTAGAGTGTTTTAGCCTTAGTCTAACATTTCATGGTAAAAAAAAACTTTGCAACAGGACTGTTTAAATCATAACTGTACAAAAATTGATACACGTAATTAATAATGCTCTTCTGTTATGCTGTAACACCAGTCTGCCGGCTGGCTTGTTGTGGAAGTTTAAAAATAAATTGAACAGCTGACACCATGATGCTCATGTTATTTATTATTGTTGATGTGTTTATTGCTTCTGTATGATATTGTTAATTGGTTCATGTTTTGATGTAATCTTCATTCTATCTGCTTTTCATTTGCAAGATGTTCAACTTTTTGCTCTTCATTGCATTTAATGATTTTGATAATGTTATAAATTTTCTTGTTATAAGTTATAATGTTCCTTACAAGCAATCCTAGCGAACTGCTTTGAGCATGGATGGTGACAACAGATGTGTGATGTTTTTGTTTTTTTTCATCCATGCATCTATTTAGTTATCCATTAACTTATCCATGTAGATCACTCATCAGCCCATCACAACATGACATGACATGACACGAACAGGCAGCAGAACGCAAACGTATAAAGAAGGCAGGTGGTTTCGTGAGTTTCAATGGTGTGTGGAGGGTGGCGGGCATCTTGGCGCTGTCCAGGGCCATGGGGGACTACCCACTCAAGGAGAAGAACTTCGTCGTCGCGGATCCAGATATACTCACGTTTAATTTGAAGAAAATAAAGCCAAAGTTCGCTTTTTATAAATGATTTATTGTAATTTTTTATTTTCTTCATCTTGTTCTTATACCTATTCACTTAATGGTGCTAGTTATAAACGTGGGTTCAAAGGTGAAATCGAGCAATAGCTTGAAATCGGCATGGTCAAAAGTGATGAAAAGTCATGCTGAATGGTGTGGTGTCATGTTAGACACAAGTATATCTGGATGGAAAGCAAGGGAGGAATGTCGGTTCAGGTGTTATTTGTATAGTATTTAATATCTTCCTAGCCGCAAACCGATGACTTAGTTCAAAAGATATAAAACAAGATAAGAAATTATTGAGTTTGCAAGGTAGAGGTGATGTGAATGTTTTGAAGCGTGCTTTAAATGAGAAGGATGTAATTATTTATAAAAAGTAAACATTGAAATAAATAACTGAATGATGATAACAAAAAATAACCTTGCAACAGATTCATGATCCTGGCGTCGGATGGGTTGTGGGATGTGTTCAGCAATGAGGAAGCCGTCCAGTTCATCAGCAGTCGACTGCATGAACCGCACCTGGGAGCCAAGAGTCTTGTGCTGCAGGCCTACTACAGGGGCTCCCTCGACAATATCTCCATCATGGTCGTCAAGTTTTCATACGGGGATCACGTGATGAAAGAAGATGGCGACGGTGTTGGTGTAGGCAGTGAAAATGAGGAAGATGAAGACGACGATGATGAGGCTGTTCAGAACCGAACGACTGATAAACTTTCAGATGATGATGACGACGATGTAATGACTGAGAACTGCGGTAATGGTGACAATAAATTGAATGAACCATCGTCACGAGCAGATAACAACGAGCATCACGCGGAGAGGGGTAGCGTGTCTTTCCATCTGCCAACTGCCAACGACGCTAATGTTTATGACGACCAAGAACATGTTGATAAGGTCCGTACAGCACCTTCATCACATTCTCCACCGGCAGAACATCTAGACAATCAGGATGTAGTTGATGTTGCGAAAGATGATGGGAGCTTTGTAAAGACGTTAAAGGCCACTGTTGATACCGACGACGATGATAAAATCAACCACTGGAAAATTGATGCTACTCATGTAGGCAGTCGTGTCAGTGATGGCGCAATAAGGTTGATGAAGGATGATAGTAGAAGATTGAATGTTGATGGTGGAATTGAGATTGAAAAGAACAACGCCATCAGTGGCAATGGAGATGAGTTTTCGATTGCTTCGTCTGAATCACATGATCGTCAACAACAACTGCAACAGCAACAACCCCATCATCGTGATGGCCACGGTGAAGATAAAGTGAGTAAGCTTGTGTTTGTGTCAGGCGAAGATGACAACCGCAGAAAAAGACTGCAACACATGGCAGAGAATCTTTAAATGGCGTTGCGATAGTTTTAACAATGTTGCTGATTGTGTTGTTGCTGTTGTCGAGACATTGATCTTTTGAGTTGCTTTTTTATTGTCATCACTTTTATTATCGTCGCCATCATCATCGTCGTTATCACTAACGCCGTCGTCGTCATTATCTTCTTTATCCATCATCTTCTTCATCATCCTCCCAGCGTGGTTGTTATAAAATCGTGGGCCATCATCATTGCCACCTAACTTTTTTATTCTAACTTTATTGTGTTGTTAATGTTTATTATTATTAATATTATTATTATCATCATCACCATTGATTTTTCATTCATTAATTATCATTACATTTAATTATCACCTGCCAGAGTATTGCAATCAAGCTAATCATCATCATCGTCATCTTTCGTTATCGTTGTCATCACCATCATCATAGTCGACATTGTCGTCATCACCCTAGCTATTTTTGCACTAATCATCTTTAGTTCTAGTGTCATATTTGTCTACTTAATGTAAATATTCATTTGGATATTGTAATATCTGTAATCTCATTAATTAATTATTTGTCTATTTAATTGGTAATTTAATAGATGTATTTATTTTAATTATAATTGATGTCGTACATTAAAAATAGTCAGATGGTTTAATTATTATTTATTTTCCGTATTTTCTTTTTTGTGTTTAATATATGTATATATATTAAATTCTATTTTTTGACGAAATCATTCATCAAACATCCTCAAAAATTTACTGCAAAATTACCAGTTCATCTTGCACACACATACACAGACATATATAAATATATCTGTGTATGTGTGTGTATTGATATGTGTGTATGTATGCCTCTATATTTGTATTTGAATATGCATTTGCATGCATGTGTTCAAGCATTTATAATCATATATGTATGCTTTCTACACATTATATATATAATCTGAATAAAATTTTATTATCATTTTTATTTTCTACTCAAGAAACTTTGAAATGTGATATGAAACATTTTTATTGTATGTTGATATCTACCGTATCTATCAGTGGATCTTATTTGAGAATGGACATTTTTTTTATATAATTCAATTCCTGTCTCCCTCTTACTCTGCATTTGATCCGTTCATTGTGGGTGATTGTTTGCAGTTTGATGTTACTTGTGATTGGATTTGGTTGATTGGTTGGTTGGTTGATTGTTCTCTCTGCTGTCATCGTTCTGTGTGTTTTCGATAATATGCTGGCATTCACTGTATTAATTTGGTTAGTTCGCCATTATTCAGTTTGTTAGGTTTTTCATTTTTAAATTATGACTTATATTTAATATGGAAACAACAAATAGTAAGAGTAAGGATTGGTGTTGTTTTTTTTTTTTGTAAAGATAAGCCGTACTAGATCAAGCGCTGAGTTTGTTCACGTAATGATAATCCATGTGCGAAACGTTTGCGAGAATATATCAAACGGCAAAATGTATTTGTCCGTAATAAGGGTCGAGTACAAAATTTTTGTAGGAATGTATCAAGCCTTTGAATTGTGTGTGTGGTGTGTGTGTGTGTGTGTAGCATGCACAGCAACATCTGAGATGGGTTCTTCAGAGATGTTTTGAAGCTCTTTTTAACCGTCGTGACGGATGGCAAATGGAATGAATAATGAATTAACTGCTGCTTGTTTGAGATTTGTAATGAGCTAACTACTGATAAACTAATGTTAAAATTAATAATGGAGGAAAAGAAGAACATAAATATATTGATAATCTCTAATAGCGCATATCGGGGAATTAGGCTTTTATTTTTTGGTATTTTTATTTGTTTAATTATCAGTTTGTTTATTTATTTATTTATTCATTCATTTTATTTCTACTGTTAGATCAAAAATCTACTGTTAGATCTGTTGATCAGCTGTTCACTCATTATCCTCAACTGTTAAATATTTCATTTTTTATTTTCACTTATTTATTAAATGATTAATGTACCTTTTTCTTCTGTATTGAGTATTTACATTTAATAGTTTATTTATTTATTTTTTGATATTTCAATTCATTACGGAGTGTCTCATGTTCAGTCTTCTTGGTTGTATCTTAGCTGTATCCTGCTCCAGTTAAATACCTATTACTGATGAAGAAGTGTTTTCCAAATTATATTCAACGTTCATTTCATCATTATACTGAATAATTCAAAATGTCATAGTGATTAACAATGTTATTTTTGTGACGTGCTCCCATTGTACCATTGTTATCTCCATGCTCCTTTGTGCAAATATCTCTTGATATATCACAAATATATTTAAATATATCACATTAAAAACTGTCATTGGCATTAACTAACTATTTAACATTTTATCACAACATTTCTTATCAACATCTCTCAATTAAATTTTTAATTTCGTGTAAAAGCAAAAAATTTAATTCTTCATTCAAAAATAGTTTCATAGTGTAGGGAGACAAAAAATCGCAGACTAAATTTACGACTTCGTAAACGATTCGCTTGGGCAGCACCGCTCATAGCTCAGTA